TTCATGGATATAAAATCATTTCAAGGCTGTGGAAGAATCTCTAAAGAGTGTCAGCCTTTTCGATGGAGGAGTTGGAGACAAACCTGCCGGAAATTACAGCGGGGGTATGAAAAGGCGGCTTAGTGTGGCAATATCACTTATTGGGAACCCAAAGGTAACATGTGCATTAATTGTTGTTAGTTTGTGTTGTGTTTTCAAGAAATGGCTCATGTTAGTTATTAACAAACCCAAAATTAGGTAGTTTATTTGGATGAGCCAAGCACAGGTCTTGATCCAGCCTCGAGGAAGAACTTATGGGATGTGATTCAGCGTGCTAAACAAAACACAGCAATTATCCTCACAAGTAATTTACATATATCTAATGGAATGTGATATATTATGGGAATTGATTAAGCATTGTACTTAGATTAAACATAATCTTAACTTTTCAGCTCACTCCATGGAAGAAGCAGAGTTTCTATGCGATAGGTTGGGGATATTTGTAGATGGAGGCTTGCAATGCATAGGAAACTCCAAGGAACTAAAGAGCAGATACGGTGGATCATATGTGTTCACGATGACAACATCTTCGGAACATGAGGAAGATGTCGAGAGATTGGTTTCAGCTGTGTCTCCCAATGCCAAGAAAGTATATCATCTCGCTGGTACACAGAAGTTCGAGCTCCCAAAGAACGAAGTTAGAATTGCTGAGGTGTTTAGGGCTGTAGAAAAGGCTAAATCCAACTTCACAGTCTTTGCTTGGGGACTTGCCGACACAACTCTCGAAGATGTCTTCATCAAAGTCGCTAAATCTGCTCAAGCTTTCATTTCCTTGTCTTGAAAGCCTGATTTTTCAAGTTAGGGTTTCTGTTTTTGAAGTCAAAGGTGTGTCTTGAGGCACACGCAATTAACCTCTTAATACTTCTCATGCAATCTGTATATACTATTTGTCTAGTACACATTTTTTACTTAGATGGCTTCAACCTATGTTGAGATATCGCATAATTATTTGTTGTTGCATATATATGAACATATGACAATTTTGATCGTTGGGCTGAAGCATATGCAAATTATTTTTGATGTTTTTTTTTCCTTTCAAGATGTGTCGCCACATCAACTATTGGTGTCAAGTGAATCCAATTGATGAATCTTGGTGTTATGTTTGGTTTAGTACTTAATAGTTAATAAATCATTTGTTCTAAAAACAAAACTAAAAGGTTTACACTTTAACTAATTTAGTTTAAGTCGAAGAAACTTAAAAAATGTATATATAGAACCTTTGAAGGGATAGAAAAACTAATAAAGAGCTGCAAGAAACAGAAACCAATTTAGGGTAAAAAAATGAATGGCAACAAATTTTCTTTAACTTTCGGCGGTGGTGTACATATATACCATCAGAAAAGAACAAAATTTATTCATCTATATTCTACAAAAAAAGTAGTAAGAAATGGGATACAATCGTGTGTCTTTAAGTTTAACAATCCTGCTCGTTCTGATTACATGGCATGTAGTTTATGGTAACGATGCTACACCAATTCCTCAGAACAAAAACCAAATCGAGCAGTGGTTCAACACCAACGTCCCTACGCTGGCTAGTAGAAAATACACGTTAGATCCAGCTCTATTGACAGCTGAGGCTACGCCGCGTGTCATTAAGGCAAGATCATAATGTTCAAATTGTACTAGTGTTCTAACAAAATTATATCTAAATCGGTTAATAATGCATGATAATAATTAATTAAACATGGGTTTTAACTTTTATTCATGAGAATTATTTTGGTGTATGTAGGTGAAACAAAATGGAGGAGGCCATTTCAAGACACTGACCGAGGCCATAAATAGTGTACCCGCAGGAAACAAGGAGTGTGTGATCATCAAGTTAGGTCACGGTGAATACAAAGAGAAGGTTACGATCGATAGAAACAAGCCATTCATCACATTGTACGGTCATCCAGATGCAATGCCAGTGTTGACGTTCGACGGTACGGCAGCCCAATACGGAACAGTCGATAGTGCAACTCTCATTGTCTTGTCCAACTACTTCATGGCCATCAACATCATCGTCAAGGTATATTCTCATTTTAAAACCTAGATTCATCATCATTGTCAAGTTTCTTCTATAAGTTACGTATTTTGAGATTTTTTGGATATAAATAATTATTTAATATTTCACTATTAGTTATTTTTTGCTTCTACACTGAGATGCCTATACATATAACATTTAAATTTTGTAGAATTCTGCTCCAATGCCTGATGGGAAAAGGAAAGGAGCACAAGCATTATCTATGAGAATCTCTGGCAACAAAGCAGCTTTCTATAACTGCAAATTCTATGGTTATCAAGACACGATTTGTGATGACACTGGAAATCATTTCTTAAAGACTGTTACATCGAAGGAACATTTGATTTCATCTTTGGAAGTGGACGCTCTCTATACCTCGTACGTACCTAAACCTAACATAATCTTTATGTCCGTTATTTATCTAACTAAATACTTCCTTCATGAAAAGCGTACACAACTAAACGTTGTGGGAGATGGACTCAGAGTGATCACAGCTCATGCGGGGAAAAGCACGGAAGAGAAAAGTGGGTACTCATTCGTGCACTGCAAGGTTACAGGGACTGGAACTGGGATCTACTTGGGCCGAGCATGGATGAGTCACCCCAAGGTCGTTTACGCATACACTGACATGTCAAGTGTCGTTAACCCGTCTGGATGGCATGAAAACCTCCAATCCGAGCGTGACAAGTATGTAATCAAAAACCATTTTAGTAATAAAACCCCTCAACTAAAGATGGATCGTAAAAACAACCCACAACTAACGATTTAGTGAAATAAACCCTCAACTTTAGTTCTGTTAATGTTGGTCACCCTCCGTCACAGAATTTTAGACGGAGGGTAACATATGTTAACAGAACTAAAGTTGAGGGTTTATTTCACTAAATCTTTAGTTGAGGGTTTTTGTTACGATTCATATTTAGTTGAGGGGTTTTATTACTAAATGTGGTTAAATATTTTAAAATCTTTATTATCATTTATTCATTATTTAAGAATCTTAAAATTGA